TTGACCATAGTAGACGATTTTTCTAGAGGCGTTTGGATTTATCTTCTGGTTGATAAGACGGAAGTGGGACAAGTTCTTCGAATTTTTTTTGCTATGGTTCAAAGGCAATTTAACAAACCTGTAAAGGTGATCCGTACTGATAATGGGATTGAGTTTGTATGCTTGGCTAGTTTTTTTGCTGAAAGTGGTATTATTCATCAAACCACTTATGTCGGGACCTCTCAACAAAACGAGAGGGTTGAACGCAAACACCGCCACATACTCAATGTTGCCCAAGCTTTGCGCTTTCAAGCCAGCTTGCCTATTGATTTTTGGGGGGAATGCGTCCTGACCGCATGCTATTTGATCAATCGGACACCGTCCATTCTGTTAAAGGGAAAGACTCCCTATGAAATGTTATTTGGGCGACCTCCTTATTATGATAATGTGCGAGTCTTTGGTTGCTTAGCATATGTGCACAATCATGGTCATGGAGGGGATAAATTTGTCAGTCGAAGCAAACGGTGTGTTTTTGTCGGGTATCCTTTTAGGAAGAAAGGATGGAGCTTGTATGATTTAGAGTCCGACATATTCTTTGTTTCCAGAGATGTTACTTTCTTTGAGCATGAATTCCCGTATGCACACAAAGATGATGCACAGTCGAACAAGGCACAAGATTGTGGAATAAGTGGGATAGATGAGGTGTTGGTAACATCCACTTATTCACCTGGACTAGCAAATGGCGAGATGGAGATTAACCAGCGAGGTGAACTCGCAGAAGAATGAGTCAGTGTAGAAGAAGGAACCCACGTAGACCCAAATGCCAATGCTAGTGAACCCATGCATTCTTTTGACGTCACCGCAGAAAATGCAAGCGAAGACAGTCCTGACATCACGGGGGGTGGCAATGTTGAGCAATAGCAGCACTCTGATTCTCATTTGGGGCGTGGGCATCGRCAAAAACAACAGTCCACAAGGTTAAGAGACTATGTGCTTCACACCACACAGCGTTTAAGTCCCTCTCTGCGTCCCCTTTCAAGCTCACTCGGTCAATCACGTYCTACAGGTAGTCCTTATCTCATAGATAACTATGTGAATTGTAACAATTTTTCTCGTCGACATCGTGCTTTCTTGGCAGCTATTACTGCAGGAGTTGAACCTACTTCTTTTGTTGGGGCCGTGAAGGATAAAAAATGGAGGGATGCAATGCAGAAAGAAATACAGGCACTTGAGAATAATCAGACATGGACCGTAGAGCCTTTGCCGTCTGGAAAACGAGCCATAGGATGCAAATGGGTATATCGATTCAAGTACAACGCTGATGGGACAGTGGAAAGATACAAAGACCGTCTCGTGATCTTTGGGAATAAGCAGATTGAGGGAATTGATTATAAAGAAACTTTTGCCCCAGTTGCAAAAATGGTTACTGTCCGTACCTTTCTTGCAGTCGCAGCAACTAGAAATTGGGAGCTTCATCAAATGGACGTACATAACGCATTCTTGCACGGTGACCTTCATGAGGAAGTCTACATACGAATGCCTCCTGGTTTTCAGTCAAATAAACCAGGTATGGTGTGTCAGATAAACAAGCGCCGAGGTGTTGGTTTGCTAAATTAACCTCAGCCTTGAAGACATATGGGTTTCAGCAATCAGGTTCAGATTACTCCCTATTCACCTTTCGTCGAGACATGGTACATATGCTTGTCCTCTTGTATGTGGACGACATTATCGTGTCAGGTAATGATCATATGGCAATTCAAGTATTCAAGAAATATTTGAGTGACTGTTTCCATATGAAAGACTTGGGACCATTGAAATACTTTTTGGGCATTGAAGTTGCCCGAAACTCAACAGGAATTTTTCTGTCTCAACGAAAGTATGCTCTGGATATTATCGCTGAAGTTGGATTATTTGGTGGAAAACCTGCTCCTTTTCCTCTGGAGCAGAACCATAATCTCGCCTTGACAGATGGGCCCCTCTTATCTAATCCTGAGCGATACAGACGCTTGGTGGGGAGGCTTATTTATCTCTCAGCAACGGGTCCAGAGTTGTCTTATTGTGTGCATGTTCTGTCTCAATTCATGCAGCAGCCGCAAGAAAGACATTGGGAGGCTGCATTGCGAGTGGTGCACTACTTGAAAGGAAATCCTGGTCAAGGAATTCTCTTGCGTTCAGATTGTGACTTGCAGTTATATGCATGGTGTGATTCAGACTGGGCGAGCTGTCCTTTGTCCCGATGTTCTCTGTCTGGGTGGTTTGTTATGATTGGGAAATCGCTGATTTCCTGGAAAACTAAGAAACATGACACTGTGGCTCGTTCTTCAGTGGAAGCAGAGTATCAGTCTATGGCCACGGCCACATGTGAATTAAAATGGCTGAAGGGATTGTTTTTGGCTCTTGGAGTTACGCATTCAAACCCAAAGCGTTTATATTGTGATAGYCAGGTAGCCTTGCATATTACAGCAAACCCAGTGTTTCATGAGCGTACGGAACATATTGAAGTTGATTGTCATTTTGTACGGGATGAGATTCAAAATGGTTACATACGTTCTGCTTATGTGTCGATTACCGTTCAACTGGATGACATTTTTACAAAGGCACTAGGTCGCAAAGAATTTGAGTACTTTCTCCGCAAGTTGGGCATTCACAATCTGCATGCTCCAATTTGAGGGGGGGTGTTAGGATTACAATTAATAATTGAATTAGGAGTCTCTATTGTAATTGAATCAGGAGTTTTCAATACATCTTATCCTTGTAAACGTAGGATCTCGACTGTATATATTTTGGCATTCTAAGTAAATAAAATCAAGAAAGGAGAAACCAAAAATGCTCTGGTTTTACACTATCTAARTATCTATCTGCATGCATGCAGGGAAAATGCTTGGTACCCGTTTGGGAAAAGGGCAATGCTTGGTTTTGTTTGATTTTTTTTTTTGTCTTTTGTTTGAGTTGATTTTTATAATTGGATAATAAATTGGGCCCAGCTTAGTTATCCTATCCTTAATGTGTTAGACAAGCAAAGGTGGTGGATATTGGACTAAATACAAAGAAAAGAGATTGTCACCAATTCCCATCAATAGACACCAGAAACTTGACTCATCTCCCTCCAAATGCATCTGTTTCATCCTTCATTTTCGCTTTGAATACAAGGCATTAAAGCCTTGAAATTGCATATCCTACCTAATTAAACCATCTTTTTCCCTCTTTGTACCGAAAGAAGAACCTAGAGCCCTTTATAGCCGTTGGATCATAGACATTGGTTCCAGGTTAAGCATTTAATCCTTAAGTTATAAMCCAGGAAAGGCATATTTTATGTGGTGGTGCTTGATGACCTTGACTAGACGGCTCCAAGAAATTGACCAGGGGCTATAAGTGATTTGTTACAACAACCGATATTCCATGACGATAATTAGAATAAGTGGTWTATTAMAAGTTATAAACCAAAGAAAGACACTGGTAAAAGTAGTAATAAATGATTTGTATATTCATAATTTAACAGTAATAGATATATTATTAAATAGAATGGATTATTAACAAAAGAGGATTTATGAAGTTGATTGCATATAGTTAAGATAAGGCATGGATGTTGTGATGACACCGCTTAAAGAAATTGATTATACTCAACTTGATGTACCTGCTGTTTTGTTTCTTATTTGTTTGGTGAATTTAGAGTTCAAGCGCACCTCTCAAGGATATTTATTAGTTTTTTGGGGTTTATTTACTGATTCAATACCCCTCTTGAAGAAGAAAGTATACGTACTTGTTCTTACAAAGATTAATTGGAATTATAAAATCAATATGATATAGGATTGTGCATGTAACTAAGGCATTTCGGTTTATGATTTCCTTATGATTGCAGTTTATTGTTCAGTTGTATCGATGTTGGAAGAAAGCATGTCTGCGAAGAGCCTACCTCGTAAGCCYGGCTCGAACACAATGCCGGAAGCCGAGAGGAGCTCGAATTACACGTGTCACACGGTTAGAGGACAGAGCCAACTGTGCGTGGCATGAGTTTAAAGTACCCCCCGTGGGAGCGATAAATAAAAAGAGCGACCGCGCGGCTTTGCTGTTTGCAGTTACTACTACCCCCCGTTTCTCTTCTCTGCCTCTCTGCAGTCTCTGTCTCTTAATTTGTTTTCTGATCGTAATGGTGGACGGTCCGGACTGTCCAACTCTGAGGGCTTGCATCGAAACTGGAATTCCTCCCAAGTATCTATACTTCTCCAGCATTTCTATCTCTCTTTTCACTGCCTGAGTGCCTGTGAAGGAGGAAGGTTTGAAGTTACAAATGAAACGATCAGCAACAAGTTCTGTGTGGATTTATAGATTATGATATTGAGGTTTGTTGGTTGGATCGCTTGTTTTAAGTTTCAACTTTATTTCTTGGGTTTACGTTATAGCTAGTTATAAATTACCAACAAGTTTGGAGGACACAGAGACAGGGGTGGCCTTTCTTGCTCTCTGTTGGCAAATTCTGTTATATGAATCATTGGTGCAGATAATCTGAGSGAGAAACCTGTTCTTGATTTCGTAGTCGGAGGAAATGGGGAAGAAGGGAAGTTGGATCACGACGGTGAAGAAAGTATTCAGATCATCTTCCAAAGATTTGGACAAGAAGGTAATTTTAATCATACAAAATAGGCGTAGCTTGGGCATAGAGAAAACTTAAGTAAGCAGATCTATTTTTAGTTATTATTTGCATTATTATGGAAATTAGAAATTAAAAATCGTTCATTTTATATTTATTTGGAATTCCATGTTTGTTGAGGCTATGGCAATTCATTTATTAATTAGCATTAATTAATTTCTGTATTGTATTTACAAATCTAACTATTGTTGATTTTTTATGATACGTGTTTCTTTGGAATCGTTAGGAAGGTTAAGTTTTGCTACATTGGATCATCGTGTTAATACTCATCATTTGTTTTCTAAATAGTTTTTACCATGCAATTGTGTTTTGGTTGGAGTTGATTACCATGAGTGAGTTTTCTTTTTTTAAAGTATTGATGAGTTATAATAAGAGAGAGAGAGAGAGAGAGAGATTATAGACTAATTTGGGACCTGTTTTTCTTATAGAAGAATTGATGATTTACATCAATTGGGACCCTTTTGTGTGAGTGACTCCACAGCGCCAAGTGGCCATTTTTCCTACAATGGATATTTCTGTCTCAGTGCACTTTGGATTGACAGGAATATGTGATTCCATTTTCCAAGTGAAATTGACAAAAAACGCCTTGTCAACATCCTAATTCCTGAATCCTGACAAAATGAACTCACGGGGAAACATATACAACATTGGGAAAAGAAAAGAAAAAAAAAAACATTGAAAAACTATAGAGGAAACTGGACGGTTTGGACGTTGGAGTTGAGCAATAATAATTGTGTCATCCACGGTCTGACGTGGCCAAATGGATGGCCTCGTGGCAGATCAGAGCTGTTGACATGGAATCGCGTGCTCTGAAGTCTGAATGGACCACCCTCAAAATTTGTTCAGGCTTCATGTCACTAGGAGATTAGACTTGTATACAGTATTCAGATGTACCATGTAAATTAATCGTGGTCGACGTCGCTGGTGAAAACCTTTTAAAAGGTTTAGAAACAGTATTCATGTAGCCGACCCTTTAAAAAAAGGTTTAGATGGTGATGACGACGACGACTATGATTTCGGATCAACGTCCAATGGGTAGATAAATGGACTCTTCTCTCTCGATCGATCTGGATGAGGGATGTGATTGTTCAACTGGGCGAACTAACTGCTAACAGAAACTGTCAATGCCAGCGAAACTCGCACCAGTAACCCGTTAAATCGGGGGGACTACAATGGTAGAGAATTATTACATGGTCCCCGATGAATGCGATCCGTCGTCGTCTTATTCATCATCGCCAAGCTACACGGTCTGGTTCACGACATAAATAGTCCAACATGCTGGCTCGTGACTCTTGCTTTCTCACACTGTCGGTCTTCTTTCTTCATTCATCTTCCTCATGTGCCTGATTATGTTACTTCCCCATCATACTCCAGTGTGGATGAACTTGGACGAATTAAATTTCTTATCGCAATCTGACGGAACTGACCTTTTTTGTTTTTCTCATATTACCAACATAATAAGCTTGGTTTATACTTTTTTTTTTCCAGAAGGAAAATGTGAACAACTGGAAACATGAGACAGCGTTGCCAGATACTATGTCTTTTGAAAACTTCCCGGCTGAAACTTCCGCTGACGGTACCAACGATGAAAGCATAGCGCAGTCTCCCATCGCTGAAGATAGGAATCATGCAATTGCAGTTGCTGTGGCCACCGCTGCAGCGGCCGAGGCTGCAGTTGCAGCAGCTCAAGCTGCTGCCAAAGTTGTACGGTTGGCCGGTTACGGTCGTCACTCCAAGGAGGAAAGGGCTGCCACCCTCATACAATCCTATTATAGAGGATACCTTGTAAGTGATGTCTCCCCCCGGTCACCTCCCACAACCACAAACCCATCTTGGCCTTTATGGCCTGGACGTGAAGCCAAAGCAAGTATAAAATAAAGGGCATTAATTCACAATTTGTATGTATGTACTATGTAGGCCCGGCGAGCGTTGCGCGCGTTGAAGGGGCTAGTGAGGCTGCAGGCCTTAGTGCGAGGTCATAATGTCCGCAAACAGGCCCAGATGACCATGCGGTGCATGCAAGCCTTGGTGCGTGTGCAAGCGAGAGTAAGGGCACGCCGACTCCAATTGGCCCATGAAAAGCTCGAAAAAAGGGTTGAGGAACAACCACCACCACGAAATCAACGGCGACGAGGACTTGGGTTGGGCCTCCAGGAAGAAGAAATTCCAGGGACGAAGAGCCTGCAACCCAAGAATTTTACAATGGAGAACTGGGATGGAAGGCAGCAAAGCTTGGAGGCTACCAAGGAGAACTCTCAGCGGAAACATGATGCCATGATCAGGAGAGAGAGAGCCCTTGCTTACGCTTTTACCTACCAGGTTTGTTTGTTAGTTCCTTTTTAATTTGTTGGTTGATCAATCATTCAACCATCTATAACTTTTCGAATGCACGCCATACATCGAATCCGTAATTTATAAGCCATCTCTGTCTCTGTTTCAATCGACCAATCCCCATGGCTCAATCTGAAAATAACCTTGTTTTCCTTGTCATCATATCACATACATCAAAACGAACCATTACATTGTTCTTTTCTTTGGCATGGACTGGACAGCAACAACATCATCTCTTGCAGTCAGAACCAAATGCTAACAACGCTGGCTTGTATTCTAAGGAGATTGAAAATCCACAATGGGGGTGGAACTGGCTAGAGCGTTGGATGGCATCACAGCCATGGAACACACAGCATTTGTCCACACTAGAGAGCTCCCATGTTACTCTCATTAACACAGATGACATGTCCGAGAAGACGGTCGAGATGGACACGGTAACACCACCGCGATCTGACCCAGCCACTTATTACCCGACCCGGCAGCAACATCGACAGACGGGCTTTGATGGTGTGCCTAGTTACATGGCAACGACCCAGTCGTCAAAAGCCAAAGTGCGAAGTCAAGCTTCAGTGAAGCAGCGCATCCCAACTGGGTTGCAGTGGAATTCATCGACAAGGAGGGGATCAGTATCTGCGTCGGCATGCGACTCCACGAGTTCTGGTGGTGGAACCGCAGTCTATCAAGTACCAAGGAGTCCGAGCCCAAAAGGTAATGGTGCACACATGCACTCCTTCAAGAGATACGGGGGTTATAGCCCGGACTCGACTGGTTTTGAATTGCGATGAGCCAGATGCCACCTTTACATGACTTCGGGAGCGGATGATGGATAGGCTGTGGTTCCAAAATTCAATAAACTCTGTCATATCGTGTGATACCTTGCAATCTTTGACGACATTTTAAGAAGTGTGTCTGTCTTTAGTCTCTTTACTTACCTGAAAAAAACATAAGCAAGTGTCTGTCTATTCTGTAGTCTATACTTCAGTACTGAGGCACTCTGGCACTAAAGGATTTAGGAGCCTTCATTTCATCACTCATCAGCTTGTTGGAGAAACTTGAAATAATCATCAACTTCAACTGACAACATGAGTGACGTGATGAAATTCTTTCCACTGGCCGATGGTTTTCTTCCGTCAAAAGTGAAGACTCCTTTTTTCTTCTTCAGCAACGTTGGAAACTTGGAAATAGCTGCACTTGGCACTTGCATAAAGTGCTGGTATTCTACTTACCGTACATGGGCTTCGATTTGGATCTTATTAGAGTTGAGAACAATGAGTGGGCTGGTATTCTTAATGGACCCTTCATATGTTGTGCTTGATTACTCTGAATCATTTCATTACCTCCAATGAATAATAAGACCACATCTCTCATCCATAATCTACTGCATAAGAACTCCTGCATAATAAATGGTAATCCCACTCGCTCGTTGCAGATGATTATCTTTGTAGAATCGTTTATTAGAAAATAACCCATTTTCCCTATAATTTTGCAATATGAGATGGGCCAGCTATGTGACCAGTGTTCTGACTTCTAAGGTGGAGTTCACTTTTAACTCCTTTTTGTCTATGGTGGACAATAAAGCCATGTCATGTTATGAGGAAGCTTACAAGTTACCTCACACATGAAGAAATGGCTTTCTTATCCACCAAGGAGATGAGCCTTTGTTCTCTTTTATTCGTTTTTCGTGAAATGAAGRGGGAAAGTTTATTTTTCGGGGTATTACATAGACAGGTAAATGATGCCCTTTTCATAGTCAGGTGAAAATGGAAAAATGTCAAAATGTCAAAATTGCCCCTAAAAAGTTCGCCGTCCGAGAGCTTCTCCCCTTCTACTCTCCTCCAAAACTCACCGGTGACCTCCTCAAACTATTTCTCTTTCTGTCATTCTCTTCCCTCTCTCTCTATCTCCCTCCCTCTACATCTACCGCTGTCAATCTAGATCCAGCAGCCACTACTATTTTCATAGTCACACCTGTTTCGTCTAGTAATCTCGCTTGAAATCAACTATTCGATGGTTTTTCTTTCATCCCCACGACACCAACCTACTTCACGAAGGTTAAGAGAGCGGTCCCCTGTTTCAAGATTCCCAATCATCAATTTCAGTTTCAGAGCTACTAATTTCGTTGCTGGTAGCACTATACATCAAAGAGTTTAAGAAATAGTAAGAAAAGGAGAATCCGATTGCTACTTGTCATCCCATTGCTACAGATCTGGGCGTCCCATTGTGAAGTGATTCTCGACAACAAACAGGTGTCATTCTTGCTTTTGACTTTAATCGGAGATGCCAGGATCCTCAGATATCCCCTTGAATGGTTGATTTCTAGTAATCCATATCAGCAATATTCTTCTTGCTTTGCTTCAATTCCTTATGATATCCCTTGGCTACATATGACCTTCACTATATGATTTAGATCGTTGATAGTAGAATTATGTAGTTTGTTAAAACTATTGATGATGCATGGACCATAAGGGGAATATGAATTTACTGTTAAGGGTTGGGATTGTTGAACAACCAAACTTCTTTCAATATTAATTGAATTCTCTAAACATAAGTTGGGGAAAGGTTTATGGAGATTTGGTGATTAGTTTCCTGAATTGAGCAAAATAACCCAATAATCCAAAAGATAAGAAAAATAATGATAGAAGTAAAATAATAAATAGGTAGAAAATAAAAAAGGGGAATATGAATAGAATAAAATAATAAAATCAATTTAAATGGTTAGTTAAATAACAAAAATGATAAAAAATGCAAAATGGGATGGACAACATGAAACATGAAATTTCATCTACTTCCCCCAAGAAGAGAAAAATTATGCACACATCCCATTAAAAGAAGAACTTTGTATTCTTACATTAATTGTTTAAGAAGAATGGCTTCTTCATTTTGCAGAAATTGTTTAATGAGAACGTTTCTTTAGCACTGAAAACTACTCTAATCGCTCATTGTTTAAGAAATGATCTTGAGGTCACATTTCTATTTGGTTGTACAAAAACAATTTTCATGTTTGATTACAAAATTAGAACGAAATTGATCTATTTGGTAAACATGAAACCATTGTCTTTTTTGGTTAAGAGATACTTAAGCATATTGACCTAAAAGCATGTGTGAAGCTTGGGTATCCAATTTGAGCCTAACTAAGCCTAGCCTGAGCTTTTGCACAGGTTGGACTGGGATTTGGTCATGTCCATCTTAATAGCCAAAGAAGATTCGTCCCTATCATAATAGAACAAGTTACTAGGAGTAGGGGAGGGGAGAGGAATAATTGGAAATCCCATTTTCTTCAATCCATTTTACTGCTAAAGTCCATTAAAATAGAGTGTATATACCAGGAAGCAAAATGACAGAGAACATCAAAGAAAACACAAAACCATTGATATGGTGCAATTCACAATTGCCTTTATGTTGTGTGTGTGTGTGTAATGAGATGGATAAGGGCCAACGTAGATATTTGAATAAAACAAGAAAACTATTGAACAAATGCAAACCTATTATTGTCAACAACAAGGTTGAAAAGTGCCATAACGAACTCCAAATTCCACAGCTTTCTCGTTATGCTCATGAACAACCAACCCCAAAAACCGCACAAGGGCCTCAACAAATCCATTGGTTCCCATAAAAATTCTGCCCTCTTCATCATCTTTCAGCAAGTATCGTATATGTTCCACTACTTTGAATTGCATCCTTAGGTCATTTCCTTCATACAAGACAGTTGGGAAATTCTCATACATCTGAAACAGGTCTAGTTCGGAGTTTTCTTTTGGGTCAGACATATTTTCAATCTCATTTCTTTCAATCTTCTCAACAATCCCATTCTCCTTAACAAACACTACCTTGACTCTCTTCAACTTACAGGAGCCAACACTCTCTATGGATCTAGAATTAGTTGATTCGCACTTAGATAATGCAAGCCTCCAGTAGTTTAAATCAAGGCTTGTGAATTTTCTTGTTTCAGGTATCACTAAAATGTGACAGTTGCAAGGCTTGCACATCGCATTGAGAAGGGAAATAAAAATGGGCTATTTATCAGCAGTGTGGCATCATGTTCAAATCTATGTGCCCTTATGATGGATGCAAGCATTGGTTTCACTTCTCAATTTTATGAGCTTTCACCTTATTTTTTTCACAAAGCGAGTAACTGCTTGCACCTTATCTTATGAGCTTCCATTGTTTCATGTTTCATGTTTGGGAATGTTTGGGCATGGACCAGTGGGTGGGTGTGTGAGGGGCAAGGAGTGTGCCTGTGGCTTGACTCAATTAGTTTCTTGAACTTGCGCAAATATCATGGAATGCCATCAAGAGACTACTAAACTGACATAGCTTATATTCCCATTGACTATCAGAAGAATTTCAATGAAATCTCTACTTCCAATTTACCTTGTCTAGATATATGTTTATTATGTTTCTCACTAGTAAGTAGAGTTGATTCAGTTCCTAATTTTCTTGGGATTAAAGATCTATGCAACAAGATCATGAAAGTTTTGTTAAGTTGATTCAGTTCCTAATTTTCAAGCCTTGTCTTCTGTTAAGTTGATTTGTTTCATATGGTTGCATGGAATTTGTTAAGCTTATTAAGTGAAAATTCTGCAACTAGGAAAACCAATATAGTTATTTATGTTTTTTTTCTTTTCTTATAGGTTTGTAGCTGATGCCTATGCAATATTCTGTATAGGGAAGTGTGACAGGGTTTGGCCTACTGACCATATGCTGAACAAATACTGGGACTTTCTCTGGTTATTAAGAAAATACCGAGATAGAGACTTAATTAGTGAATGGAAAATGATTTGGTTGTGTACATGGTACATAAATTTAAGAAAGTCAGCTTTCTGTGTTGTTTGAAAAATGTGAGAGCTGGATCTATATGATGTTCTGGTTCCTTGATGGCTGAACCTTGAACCACAAAATACAGGATCCATGTTTATATTCATAGATTACAAGATATCCAACATTCACTCTGTTTAGCTAGTTGGGCTTTGGATTCACTCAGTGAGAGCTGAGTTGGTTTCTATCCAGTCACCCCAATCTTACGACAATCCATCTGCAACTATAGGGAAAATGGAGAAGAGGGGGAAACCGTAGAAATAAGGGACACAATGTGTATGATTTGTATCACATGGACTTAAGCTCAAAGGATAAAATTGACAAGAGGTGAAAAAGATAACAAACTTACCCAGGAAAGTAGGTGTTGGAAAAGAACATAGGAAAATAAGGAAACTCACATAGCTGGATTAATTAAACAAAAAAATAACATGGGTAAGTGCACTTACCCAGGTAAATGTCTTTCTGAAAAAAGAACAGGGCCTTAGAAAGAACCAAAGTTTAACACCTCCAAATGGTCTGATTTCCAATGGGCGAAAAATGTGAAAAAATAAAAGAAAGAAATTAAACATTCATTCTAAATCTGTTCATGGGCTGGATTTGGGCCAGGCTTTACCACTTATTCACAGGAAATGCCCAGTCCCAGGCCCGAGCCCAGCTTGATTATCAGGCTTGTTTTGATCTCAAGCTTGGTCCTATAATAAAACTTGAAGCTGGATATATGTTATGCAATACCTTAGTTTTATCTTCTAATTTCATATATTTTAATTTGTTCCTGTCCAATCACACATTTTGTACATCAAAATTATTGCCGCCCAAGATACAATTAAACACCTAAGTTCGGAAAAAAAAAAAAGAAAATCGCAGACAAAATAGAAATATAAGTTATTACCAGGCCGGACCTGAGCTTATTTGAAAAATCCAAGCCCAGTTGGAAAAATAATTGGGCCTGATACTTACAGATCAAACCCAAGCTCGCATGTCACAGGATGGGCCTAAAATGGGTGGGTACGGGCAAACCTGTTTAGCTACCTGGCCCATAAACTGGTCTAATCCATCTTAGGCTTGGCCGAACTTGATGCCAAAACTTGAGTTGGCTGGCCTAAGCTCAACTAGAACTAAATCCAGCACAGCTTGGGCATCAGAGGGTTCGGACTGGCTTGGGTGGGTTGTTCGGGTTTTAAGGCTCTCTTGCTGTGCAAATTTACATATACACACATAGAGCATAATATAATACACACAATTAGGGGTATTAGGGGTGCGATAAGCAAAATTTGATCAATCAGGGGGTTCAATCCAACATTTTCGAACCGTCGTTGACCTGGACGGTCCTGTTTTACACCAAACCCAGAATCTGGTAAAAAACCGTTGAAAAAGTCAACAAACCATTGACCTGGGTGGTCGAACTGACCCATTGACTCGTTCAACGGTTTTTGACATTTTTTTTAGTTTTTTAATTATTTTTAATTTTTTTTATTTTGCTGTCAGAACGGGCTGTCTTTTCAAACTGGATGGTCGGACCATCAACCTAGAAACCGGTGGCCAGAACGATTCCATTTCCGGGTTATTTTTTAAAACGTTGGTTCAACTTGCGTTGGGAGTTTCTTAAAATTTTAATGAGTGCAAACCCTAATTTGAGCATGATGTAGTTGAACTTCTCCATTCGCTTTCCAGTAAGTTAGTTACCCATGTTCGTAAATAATCTAATGACCAATTGATCATTTTAGTTATAAAAATTCATTATTAAATGGAACATTTTTATTTCATCCTAGTGTTGACAACTTCTCCTAGGTGAGAAAGTTACTTATACAGGAGATATCACTTACCTAGACAAGTGATACACATGAAAATAAACTTTCCATGATCCCTGCATAAATCTAAAAAAACATAAGCTGAGCCCAATACGCAACACCTGTGTCATGGTTGGCAGACTGGGTAGGGAAGGCAATGGGACAAGTTCGGGAGGGTTTTGTAAATTCTAAATCCTATCTGCCTCCTTAAGCCTCCCAACCCATACCCGTCTCAAAACCCACTATGGGTTGGATTTTGAGAATCCAAACCCTCCCCACATTCAAGGATAAGGATGGGTTTGATTTAAAAAACACATAAGCTATCAATTATCATTCACATAAAATTCAAAATATTATTAAATTCAACACTTAGTACATAAAGTTTATATGCTTTACAACAATATACGAGTCATGGAGGGTTGGGTTTAGTCTAATATCATACCCTACCCGTACCCATACGGGTTGTAGAATCCCAACACCCGTTATTTAAATGAAAAAACCCATCGAATATGACAAAAATTGCCATCCATAAGACTGGGGTTGCTGATTGTATGTTTACATGATGTGCTGCTGGTGAAGCTTATGCATATAGGGGTGTCAATTGGACTGGATTTGGTCCAATCCGATCCAGTCCAATGTGAGTCCATTATAAATGGACCAGGTTCAATCCAATCCAATGAATGTTTTGAACCAATTTTGACTGGTTCATTCATTGTCTGGACCATCCAATCTGTTCAAATTCATTTTGATTTAGATTGGTTTCAACCCAAATCCGGTCCATTGACACATATATAATTATCTTATATCAACGGACCAGATATTGACTTAATCCAACCCAATCCAATATGAATTTGTTACGGACGGATCAGATCAAATCTAATCTAATAAATATTTTAGACCGAATTGGTGCAGTCCAATATATTTTGTTGGTCCGTTCAATCTGTTCAAATTAATTTTGGACTGGACGGGATCCAATCCAAAACTGGTCCATTGACACCCTTATACGCATAAGATGTTTTCTCACCCACCAAATGCTACAATTCTATAATCTCCCCCTATTCGTCTCTCTCTCTCTCTCTTCAGATTTTCTTAAAAGGTCCTTAATTGCATATCAGGAAGTTAGATAATCTTTGTAATTTTTGTTTTTGGTAGAACAAAAAATTACATAATCCATGAATAGAAATTTGGATGACCCAGATTTGAGGGTTAGTGCCCTGTCCCTCTCATAGTTGTTGGTCATAAACTCCGCGTCCGCGTGTAATAAATAACTGTGGCCTCATTGTTAGTTGATGTGCTGGTGTGGAGATGGCGACTTGCGGTCGGCAGACTTTGTAAAAGTTGAAACCTAATTTCCTGTTTTTATATTGATTAATTATTATAAAAATCAGGACATAAATATTTTGATTTTTCGTTTTGTCGAATAGATACAGCACTTCGCAATGGTCAAAGTCACCAAGTATTCACGGTTCAATAGTAATTTAAGTATTGAGAGTTTATCTTCTCTCAACGAGGCCACTACCCACCGGCCACAGAAAAATTAAATTATTCTAATTTATAAAGTTTAAAGAGGGTGGTGCTCCCCAGCTCCCTGTTTTCAATTGGACCGTCCAAAGAAGTTCAGTTTCGGATGAATAATGATGTGCCTTCTGAGTCGCGTTTTGGAGTTTTATTTTTTCTTAGTTTAAATGGATTTCCAAAGAAAGTTACATTTTTAAAAGGCCTATTAAGACGGAAAAATATGGTACTGCAAGAGTTTTGACCAATCAAAACACATGTGAATTATGATAATAAAATGAATTAAAAAACAATTTTTAGAATTTGGCTGATCATTTTTGTTCAAAATAATTTTCTTAAAAACATGAAAGAAAAATATAAATTGAATTTTTCTTCAGATTTTTCAAATGAGTTTTTTGATTAAAAAACTTTTTTTGATTGACTTTTCAACATAGAAAAAAACAAAATGCCTATTAATGAAATACTCCCAAACACAGCCTAAATGGCAATGTGGCAAATTGGCAATAACTAAAAGCTTGGTCACAGGATGAACACTTAGACCAGGTACGTGGGTGTTTGGCATCGATGCCGTTTTTTGAGAATACGATGCCATATAAGTACCCCATCAGAAAAAGCGGTGCTTTAGAAAATGACCTCTTATGTGGTACCGTTTTTCCATAAAAAACGTTGCTTTAGACCATACCTTGAAAATCAAGAAAGTGTGGTCTGAAGAAACACCAAATTTGATGTTTTCTCAAAAAAAAAAAAAAAAAACAGCTCATTTATGCCAACGGTGCAATTAGGAGCGGAACTAGGATTTTTTATTGAAGGGGACCAAAACCTAGAAAACATGGATAGGGGAGGCCAAAAGCTAGGAAACATGGGTAAGGGGGAGGGGGCTAAAATATGGGAATTTTGAAAGCATGGGGGGGGGGGGGGGGGCATGGCTCCCCTCCTCCACCCTCTGGCTCTGCCCCTAGGTGCAATGATGTGGCAGATGTTGGATAATATGATCAATGCTGAAAACGGTTTTACATCATTCGTACCAAATAAAACCAATGCTGTTTTCACAAAAAACAGCCTATGTGGCAGCACCACTTCCAAACAAAAAATGGTGCTTACAATTCACACATTCCCAGCAGCGTTTTTATGAGAAAAAGGTGCAGTATTCCCAACATCGATGCCAAACACCTACTAGATCAACTCATTTTTGTCGAGAGAAGGTATCATCTTCGATAAGGTGTAAAGTATCAATATGATGCTTCTAATACGACATATATCATATATGTATATATGACAATAGATATACGGGATACATCACAATTGGTATATATTTCATGAGTTATGCCGATATAGATACATCACAATTGGGTATGTATCCCACGAGTTGTGCCGATATGTCTTAATATTAGTTATCAGACCATATCATGTTGTATTAATGGATATAGAAGTGTATTGATGCATAGCTTGATGAAACTATTAAAAATTGAAAATTATAATTATATAAACTCAAATAAATAATTTAAATATTAAAATCATAAATACTTTTTTTTCAAAAATGTTATATAAATAAAATTGAAAGTTATATTTTATTTATATAAAATACTGATGTAAGCACACATGGCAGGCCTAGGATGGAGACACGTGGCACAGGCCGGATCACATCCTGGCCGTCCACTCATAACAAGGCAGGCTCAAGTATAAATAAGTGGCGTCACTCCCTAGGTAAGCTATCTTGGCATTTATTGTTCTAAGCTTTTTAAAGCTCCATGGTGACCTCATTTGAGCTATCTCTACTTAGGCCTCATCCGACCCCTTGCTATGTCTTCCTTTGCTT